AGTCAACCCTTTGAGCCTTTTCTCTATGGATCTCTCTCATGTTGTGTAGCTCCTTCTTTGTCATCTTGATTGTGATTAGGAAGAGTGACCCTTACTTTCTTCATGACTAGACCATTGTCGAGTCACCCTTGTCCTTCGAAGCTCCCATCATTTGAGTTTCATTGAGGTTCCACTTTGTGTGACTTGAACTGTTACCTACTAAAAGCAAAAGTGAGTGTTGGGGTAGTGCTTAAGAAGTAAGCATGTGTTTAAAGTTCAAATAATGTGGCAATGTGCGTTTAGCTCTCTAATCCCCCCCTCCCCCCCCCCCAAGAAAAAAAGAGAAACAAAAGGAAATGAAGAAAAAGAAAAGAAAAAAGGAAACAAAAGCGGTAAATAGAATAGAGGGTTGCCACAAAATGTTGTTTATGCTCTAGAAAGGTGTTACTTGGCAGTCAAGCTACTGAGACACCATGTTGTTTATCTCCTTCACTCATGTGCTTGAAAAATGGTATAGCAGGTGTAGGAAAGAAAGTGTCCTTCAAATGTTGTTAATTATTGGTTGTGTTTAGGGAATGGCGGAAGGTTTGGGTATTGGTTGTGTGAGTGGTTTTGTGTTATTGTGATAGGTTTTGGAAACCTAGCGCTTTATATGCCACCACCCAAAAAGCCATTTCCCCATGCCCGAGACCCTAGCCAGTCAACTAAATCCGTACCTAAGACCTTCGGAAAAGATGGAGATGACAGCCATATTGTGAGCTCTATTATTTAGTGGTTACCGTCGTGGTGAAGAGACGATAGGGTTGGGTGTTGAGTATGCACATCTATTGCGTCAAATGGTCCAGACCCCACTGGTCGAGAGTGAGTAATTCATTCCTTCATTCATTCTTTTATTGTTCATCTTATACCCTGGTGAGGACCTAGTTTGCTCATTCGTTTGTTCCTATGAAGTGATATTTATGCATGGATAATTGTGGTTGGTAAGTCGTCATTGTATGATATGTTTTGGTTTGTGAACAGGGTGATAATTTTTTCTTTGCACGTTTTTAATGCATTCGAATGTCATTCGTGGTGGTTTCCAGGATTCCTTGTCGTTGTCCATATGTCAGAGCCAAATAGACATTGAGATCCTTACACTTTGTGCCCTTTAACATGTCCCCAAGTTATTATGTTTAGGTTGAAATATTACCTTGTTTGAGATTGGTTTGTTTGGGGACAAGCAAACGTCCAAGTGTGGGGGAGTTTGATTCGGGCTTAATTACACATGTTTTCACCCAATATTCTTTTGAGCTTTGAGGCGTTTGCATCACCCGAGGTTCAATTTTATGCTAGGTTGTACATGTTTTTAGCATGTTTCAGGTCTTAGCAGTTGGAATAGACCTCGGGAGCGAAAGTCGAACGAAAGAGGGCGAAAATGGACTGAAATGCACAAAAAGGCAGAGGTCACGACCAGAGGACCTTTATGACGGGAAGGAGACCGTGACAGTTGGGACCAGACTGTGAAGACCGACGAGATCAAGTAGCTTTTGCACGCCTCGCGGGCAAGTCAAAGATTACAGGCACCAGATTGTTACAATTCCACCCCGACCGTGAAGTATTTAAATGAAACGACGTATTTTTGCTCGAGATCACGGGCAAGCCTCTGAGATGACGACCGTGACAATCGACCGACTGGAGTATACAAGGAGGAGTGAGCTGAAACCGAAAAAGGGGATTATAGATTGAGCTTAGCTTCTTCTTCTTGAGCTAGAGAGAAAGTCATGAACCAAAGGAGTAAGGAGTTCTTGACCTACCCGAGACTTGAAGAGTGGAGATTTCTCCTCTAAGGAGGAAATCCAAGCAACTAAGGTGAAGAGAAGCAACTTACCATGGTTTTTCTCTCCTTCTTTGTTGTATTCCTCTTGTTAGTCATGGAGTAGCTCTCAAATTCATTTGGTTATTGTAAACCCTAGACTAGAAATGTGATAGATTGTACGAATGGAATGCTATGTGTGTTGGGTTTGTGCTTAATACAATGTATGAGGTATTTTTCATGATTCTTGAGTATTGTTCTTCATATCTCAAAGTTAGGACAAATTGACCTAGGTGGAGGAAATCCCCCTTTGGGCTTTAAGAAGCTAGATTTCATGACCAATTGGGTAACCCCATCTAGGGCAATTAACGGTATACCTCAACCCTCGGATTAGTGCCACGAATCTATCGTGCATTGGTTACATTTTTGCCATTCCGGATTAGTTTCCGAGGGAGTGTTCTTAGCGATCCTTAGTCAATTAGTCGAGAGAGCTAGCTTCCTAGCTTATTGTCACATTCCTTGACTAATCATCTAAGAGAGTGGGGTCTCTCCACTAATTGCAATCTCCTCACGTTTATGAACACACACTTCCACACGAGAGTTCCATTCGGCTAACCTTGATACGAGACTAGGGGGAGCAATGCCTGAGTGAAGCCTTCTCTCTTTGCGTTCATCGCAATCGAACTTTTTCCGTTTGCTTTCAACTGTAGTTCTTTAGTTTTAACTCCAAACCGTTTGCTAGATAACAATTTAAACGATTGAATTAACCGTACATGGACCGTCTCGGGTTGACAATTAAAACGCTTTCCCTATACTACACCCTACTAGAGTTTGCACTTGGGCTTTAGTCGGGATTTAATTGTGTAGTTAGGAACGAGTCAGTTTTGAAAAAATTTAACTATCTCGCTGTAAGTGTTTACTCGAAATATTAACGGGTTGGCACTCACTTTTCTAAAACAATGAGTTGAGTTTTTCCGAGAGTAAGAACAATTGTGAAGTGTCATTACAAAAGCCTCACGTATTTGAAGGTTCTTTTACATAATGATATTAACCTCACATTACATAAAGTGCTAAGTTATTACGGAAGTCTTACGTAACTTTTATGATTTAACTGTTATGTAAGAGATAACTATTATTTCATAACCTTTACGTAATGGATGTATATTTGACCTGATAGTTGTGAAGTATCATTACAGAAGTGTTACTTAATGAATTGTCTTTTTTACGTAATGAAAACTAACTTTGTACTAAGTGTTAAGCCATTACGAAAACCTTATGTAATGGACGGTCATTTTACGTAATGAGTATTAATGTCGCATTACATAAAGTGCTAAGTCGTTACGGAAGCCTTACGTAACGCTTCTGATTTAACTGTTATTTAAGAAACAACTGTTGTTTCATTACCTTTACATAATGTATGTGTTGTAAAAGGTTGATAAGCGATGACTTACACTGTCGGCTATCACTATATTGGTAATCCACGATCTAAATTGATTTTAATATATTTTAACATTATAGATTTATGGAAGTTATCTGGTTTGAAATTATATCCAAATTACTGTAGGAAGTACAAATTTATATTATTTGAAAACCTTCCGTCACATGTTTGTATAGTATTAATATATATAAAGCAGAAGTTTGGTTACTGTTGTTAAAAAATTTACATTTTGATACCCAAATTTAATTAAATCACAACTTAGTTATTATAAGGTACATTTTACATTTTGATACCTAAATTTAATTTTAAGGTAAAATCATTGAATAAATATGTTTCGGTATCTCATTTAGTACATTTATGTGGTACTAAACAAACTTCTACTAACTACCCCAAATTTAATTAAATCACAACTTAGTCACTATAATGTAGATTTTACATTTTGATACCCCAAATTTTATTTTATTGTAAAATTATTGAACAAAAATGTTTTGGTATCTCATTTAGTACATTTATGGGGTACTAAACAAACTTCTACTAACTACATGTAACAAAATATGCGACATCTACATAATCAAGTGTCAATAAATTGTTACGGTGAAAAGAGATGAATGTTGTATTGACGGCCAACTAAAAGAATCGGACAAAACCTTTCCATCATCTACTTCCTCTTCATTTCATTTTTTCACTCGCCTTCCATAACTCTTTCTTTATTTCTTTCTTTGCCTTCTTCGTCTAACCCTAATTAGGATACTATTTTTATGTATTCCAATCACTAGTATGAATTAACGGGCCCATACACGACTCACCAACAGTTAGGGAACTAATAATTGAACCATGACCACTAACTTTTTTCATCTCAATGTCGAGTCCAATTAAAAATAAATATATATGGTTATTACTTATTAGAAATTTGTCATTTTCCATTATGGGATTTGAAGGCATGAAATTTTAAGCGAGTTCCAATTTGTATTCCTTTTGCTTCTCTCTAAAGTTTTTCTTTTTCACCGGGACTAGAATTTTCAACAATTATACATTGAATGTTTGGGGGTGATAATCCCAACCCCAAAATTGAGCACCTAAATTTTATGTCTATTACATTTTGGTACCTAAACTTTTGAATTTCTACAAATAGGTCTAATTGTTTTACGTGTAATTAAAACACCCTCGAATAGATGGGTATCCATAGCCAACTCATACATATTTAGATTATGGAAATAAATATCCATATCCTACCCAAACCCATCTACAAACTTCCAACCCCATATCTATGTCACCCATACTCTACCCATGATCAATAGGTCTACTTGGGTTTAGGTAAATATCATTTACTAACCAAAATTTTCTAACAAAAATTTAATTGGAAATTGACCGCTATATATCTCTTCTCGGTCAATTTACTAACAAAATTGCTAACAAAAAATTGATTTTAGGCTAATAGTACTAACAAAACACCATAACGAGCTACACAATACATGCCCATAGATCATCTCCGCCCGCGACAAGGCGCGGCATCGCCACCTACTATGAATTAAAGTTTATAGTTAAGTTATTTCTTAACTTTTCTGAACTTTTATCTGACCTTTCAAAGTGCAAAGGACTTCATCATGACAACAAATGGCAAGGGTATAACTATGTTGAATGCAATTCATGGTCGATTCTTATATTATGTTGGCTTGAACACATTTTTATAAGAATACCCATAATGGGAATAATTTGTATAAGAAAAAAAGGTGACCAACACAACTAGTATATATTACTAGAATATGATCCTTTTTCTTCATTGTTTTGGTTCAAAGAAGAATGTTCCAATCATTAGTTCATGCATGCATACTTCACTAGGATTAAGAAGAAGGAAAAAAAAACAGCTTAATTATTCTTTTGCCGGGACGGAACTATTTTGGGGAGATGTCAAGGCATCGATGGAGTGAGAATGAGGTATTTTGAATCCCTCGCCGCTCTCGTGGTGGGCGTGTGGAGCAGAATCCTTGCCGTAGCACGGAGGGATCTGTACTTGACCAATTTACGAACCCACGACGACTTCTTTCTGGAGGGACATTTCTGGCCACCACGGTTGAGGTACTCTTTCACAGCATGCACTCCTTGCTCCACCACAAGTGCTGGCGGCGACACTAGGGGATTTCCGTCGACGGCGAGCTTTTTCAGCCTCCGGAGGCAGCCGATGGAGTCCGGCAGCGTCTTGATCTTGTTGTAGCTCACATCCAACTCCACCAGGGACACCAGCATGCCGATGGAGTAAGGCAGCACCTCCAGGCACTGAAAGTTCTGGCTCACGTTAAGCACTTCTAAGTGGATCAGATTTCCGACATCTTCTGGGAGTGATCTTAGCTTATTCAACCGCGCGTCTAGCTTTTTCAGGGAACTGAGGTGGGTTAATGAGCTAGGGAAGAAAGCAAGAAGATTCGAGTTTACAGATAACTTCTCCAGATTGCGCAACCCAAATCCGATGTTGTCTGGCAGCCGACCAAGCTTGTTGAAGTTGACGTTCAACTCTTTCAAACACCTAATAATACACAAAACTCGAGGTTGAGTGCAGTGCTTCGATCGATAGTTAATTATGGACTCGGACATGTACTTAATTGTACTCTCGCAACAACAACAACAAAAACATTACTTGTAATTTATGGGTTGACATATATCATATAACATTATTTTTGGTGTTACTATGGGAAGTTCTACCACATAGAGGGTAATATCACATATCTCAAGTAAGAAAATGCTATTCAGATGTTGAATTGACTGGACTTTGAGATATATTACTAAACATTAACCTTTAAAGATTAAAATCTTGGTTTTAGTTCTCTAAATATTATACACTAAGGTCAATTTTATTAGAAATAAAATTAACGGTTATGATTCGTCGAAATATATGCAACAAAGTACATGCACCATTTTAGAGTTTAGAGTTTACGATTTAGATAATTAGGATCTAGGGTTCACTCATTATGTATTATGGTAAATTACATGTCCCAAAATTGTGTTCATTCAATGTCTAAATAATGTTTTTTTTTTATTAAGGATCGATATGTGGTACCCTAAATTTACCCAAGGTATAGAAACCACCATATATATTATAACGATAGCACAATATATTTTTGTTAATAGAATTTGTTATGTAAACATTATTTAAAAAACATTATTAAGACAAATGTGCTGAGATGATTGTTGCACTTATGAATTGAATCAATCCGAAACCCCTCAAGCTACAGGAGTCAGGAGGTATTATGTCTTGTAGAACAAACCTGCAATTCATAATAGCTTTTGGAAGGGAGAGGAGAAGGTTGCCAGCAACGTTCAGCACCTTCAGTTTGGATAAGCACCCAATGGAATTGGGAAGAGATTTCAGTTGATTTGAATGAATGTCCAGTACCACTATATTCAACAATCCTTCCATCAGTGACTCCGGTATGATCTGCCAACCAAAATAAATTCAAAATTCCGGTCACATGTTTTTACGAGTAAGGTTATGTCAAAAATTATATATTTTTTATATATAAATTAGTGGAAAGAAAACACAGGCAACTTGTAATTTATTATTTGAACAAATCTGAACGATTCGAGAGTTTAAATGGACAAGTACCTGAAGATTGTTATTCGATAGATCAAGTTTGCAAATATGAGCTAAGTTGAGGGGAGGATTGGGCACTGTCTCAAACGACATGCCACCCAAATCCACGATCTCTAGCCTTTCTTCATCATTATCAATGCCTTTGATTTTCTCTGCTACTTTTGGTTTCTGGGTCAAGTCCAAGTTCCTAATTGGTGTTTTTGGCTGTTGTTGCAGTTTGTACACCATCTTTCTTGGATCTTTTACCCAAGACTGTGGATCTTAAAGGAGAAGAGCTAGAGGGAGAGTAAGTGTTAAGGATAAAATATGAACATCGTCTTCTGTTTACGGTTGGAGTAGAAATGGGGATCTCGTTCTACCAAAAAAATAAAAATAAAGGGGGAACTCTTGAAAATTAATGAAGGAGGATGTTGTTGTTGAACAATAAATTAAAAATTGGCATAAATAGGTAATAATAAGACGGAGTGTGAAAATGAAAGAGATCGTTTGTTAATGGTAGTTTGAAATGAAGTAGAATGTCGTAGAGTACATTTTGGATAGCCACTGATAAGGTCAATATTTTGTACTATCCTGTTTCTCTCTGTCTCTCTCTCTTTTCTCGGGGTGTTATGCCTTGCTTTTGATCGAAGCCACATATAGACATCAGGAAGGGTTCTTGGTTATATATGCTCTTTGACTGAATCAATATTACGTTTTTTCCCCAAAAGTCGAGGAGTGGTTGTTCGTTATTTAATTTACTCACTACCGATCTACAAACTTTAGTTTTTATTGGGGCATTACCAGTGTTGTTAAAATCGAGTTGGTTGGTCGGACCGGTAAAATTGGGACCCGGCAACTATCCCGACTCGGAAGAGATAAAAACCGTTACGATCCGGTCGATTAACAATTGAGCGATTTACCGCTCGAACCGACCAGCCGTTTCTGAGCATTAAATCGTCCGATTAAAAAAATTAAACACCCAAAAGAAAAAAGAGATGAAGATTGCCGCCCTTTGCAGCCCACTCGCGCCTGCCGCCTGTCACCGTCGGACTGGATCTGCCTTGGATTGGAGATTCTAGTAGCAGCACTGCAGCACTATAAAATGAGAGGAAGAAATAAGATTGGATTGGCCCTGCCTTGAACAGCGTAATAGTTGATTTGGGAATCAGATGTAGAAGGGAAGGGAGAGAGAAAACATTGGTAGATGTGAGAGGGAGGCTATTTATTTTGTAATTTTAGATTTCTAGTGTATGCTTCCTTTTCTTTAGCCGACAGGGTTTTTTAGAAGTATTGATGGGCTAAGAGGTTGTATATGGGTTTTTGAGAAGTGTTATTTAGCCGCTAGGGTTTTTGAGAAGTCATGAAGCTATCCTGGCCTAGTTAATTTTTTTTTTTAATAGAAACGGTATAATATTTTTGTTTATAAGGTATCAATTTATTGGAAAATTTCCCACTGTACACATGTTTTTAAAAAACATTCTCAAAATACACACGTTATGAAAAATATTTCCCAATCTAGGCATGTTTGAGCCTTCACCGCGTCTGAGCAAGGCGGTGATTGGATCACCACATTAAAGAAAAGCGGTGATTACATCACCGCATGAGAGAAGCACGGTGATTGCATCACCGCTGTAGAGGAAGGAGGTGATTGCATCACCGGTACATCACCGCTCTAGAGAAAGGCGGTGAATGCCTGACCTGCGTCAAATCTTTAAAAAAACATAACTTTGTACAGCGGTGATGCAATCACCGTTTTCCTCTAATGCGGTGATGCAATCACCGCTCTTCTTTAAAGCGGTGATGCAATCACCGCCTTGGTCTGACGCGGTGAATACCCAAACATGCGTAGATTGGGAATTTTTTTCATAACGTGTGTATTTTGAGAATTTTTTTAAAAACATGTGTACAGTGGGATTTTTTCCTCAATTTATTAACGGCTAGTTACTGGTTAAGTAATAAAGTGCGAGCCATTTAACATACCGATTTATACTTGATTCGGTTTTCACAACATTGGGCATTACAGAAAACAAATCATTTATTCCTCGTATTTGAAAGTGCGTTTTCCGTGTGTAATAGTTTTAGTCACGAGAAATTACCATAATATATACATCTGTGTTTAATTGTAAAGGTCACGGGAAATTTGTTCCGTGACTAGTTTTTCCTGTGGTAATTTATACGTTATTAATCATAGGAGGTACCGTGACTAATTCAAAATTTCAGTGAAATTTTTTATTTTTAAGTACGTGAACAATTCTCGTCAATAAGTTATCGTGACTAAAAGCCTATTTTCCTATAATGATGGGATAAAAAAAAATCCAATCGTTAGTGGTGATCTGATGTCTCATATGCTCATGTTGCCCATATATTAACCCATTATGGTTTTAGTGATATTTTAATTGAGATTGTCTTAATACTTGTGTGATTTACAATTTACCTTTTAGTTTTATGTACAAACAATCCAAATATTGTTTTCTTGACGTGATAACAAAAATATCACTTACAATTTATCTTTTCCATGGAAAGGGCGTGTGTGTAGAGGTGATCATAATCGGTTTTCGAGTTAGCGGTAGGCGGTAGCCAAAAAAATGAGGTGGATATATTGTATTATACCCAGTAGTAACCGGCGGTTAAGCAGTATATACTGGTAATCGATAACCCTTGCAAAAACTACAACGAACACAACTTACGCCACATTATTTCCCCTGCCTCCCCAACTCACTCAAACCCCATTCAGGTAACCGATTTGGTAATCGGCTGGTAAACTGACAGAATTTTGGTACCAATAATAGGTTGTTATCTAGCATTATTCAATATACCTTTAACCGATTAATCGGTTATCGATTAAACCGATTACCAGTCCTAGGTGTATGCATAGGAGGAAGACAACAACAGTCGCGATATATGCATATCTTGAGTTAATTTAACATTATTAGGTTGATTATTTTATGTTACTGCAAGGGTGGCCTATTACAGAAAGTGGTTCAAGTAATATTCAGAAGATCAAACCTTCTAGTGTCATATTTATTGGCACCTTATCTTCCCTTAATCCCAACGGCTAATGTCAAATACGAGTTTGTGATTCAAGTGCAACTTAGATTACTTACTTTCAATTACCTTCAGATTATAGAAATAGGCTTGGCATTTGTGCGGATTGGGCCCGGATTTAAAAGGATCAGTTGTCGGCCCGTCTGCATTTCAGGTTCAGGGAAAACCCGCGCGATGCAAGTATTCGGGTGGAAAACAATTATCAGCCCCGCCTAGCTTCGAAGTTCGGGTTAACTGGGGACTCAAAACTGATACGAACCTAGCAAAAAATTAAATAAAAAATAGCTTAAATTCCAATTAACATGAACACAAACTTGATACTTAATATTATATAGATTTAAATCCAATTATAATAGGTAGAGGTGGCAATTAGGATCCAAATCCATGAATCCAATCCAATCCATCCACCAAATTATCCACCTAATCCAATCCATTTAAATCCAATTGGATTGGTGGATTCATGGATCAATCTATGGATCCAAATGGCAAATTACGATTTGGTACCTATATTTTTTATATTTTACATTTTGGTACCTCAAATTTATATTTTTATACGAAAAATCTCATTGGAAAATTACATTTTGGTACCTAAAATTTTTCATTATGACATTTTAGTACCAAAACTTTTTTCAAATTTTACATTTTGGTCCAAGCCTTGGATGTCATTTTGATTCATGGTTCAATCCACCAATCCAATCCACGAATCCACGAATCTGATCCAATTGCCACCTCTAATAGTAAGCTGATGCGTGATAGCGGAATATCACGTATCGCGGAACTCAAACTCTTCTACGAAACTAATGAAACGCGATAAAGATAGCTAAATTACTCTAATTTACTTTACCAATATCAAGAGGGATAGTAAAGCTACCTGGATCGGACCACTTTTTGGGCAAGCGGTCGAGGAGGTAAGCCGAACACTCCTCGCCAAGAGTCACGTTGGTGAGGCCTTCAAGCCTTGGCTTCTTGGTGAGGAATCCTTTGAGGTACTTGGCATATCTTGGCATTTGAGCCATGGCTTCAAGGAAACGGATGTTGAGGTGGAGGTTGCGAAGCATTTCCATGAAACCTCCACACTCGTTCTCCAACCTCTCTTTGTACATCCTTGTGGGATAAGGAAGAAGTAGTATGTATCCATCCTCCGGTAATGCCTTCCTTGCCGCCTTCCTCTCATTACTCGAGGGCTTCCCTTCTCCCTTCTTTGGGTTGGTCCCTTCCTTGTTTGTATCTTACTTCTCCTTCAATCCATTAGTGGCGACTTCAGGAACCACCTTCACACTCCTCACTTGAAGCGTATTTACCCCGGCATGGTCCTTGGGGTTCGTCACGGTTTGGGAAGGTAAAGCTCCCTTGGGTCTCTCGGTGAGGATGCCAGTAAGGTTGCCGATTTGCACCTCCAAGCTCTGGAGGCTCGCTTGATGGTTTCGGAGACCCGCCTCAACCGAGGTAAACTTGGTAGCGCCACATCCATAAATTTCTCTATCTTTTCGAACTTTTGGCTACTCGTACTCACAAAGGTGTTCGCTAGGTCTTTAAGCTTAGATAGCTTGTTGGGTTGTTGTTGAAACCCTAGGCCACCTTGTGCTTGGTACGGTTGTTGGAAGCTTGAGCCTTAAACTTGAGGCCTTTGTTGGATGAAGGTCGGCCGAGGTTGGAAATTACCCGTGGGGCCTTGAAAACCCGGGGGCCTCGGATTTTTCGGTGATGCCCAAGAAAAGTTGGGGTGGTTCCTCCATCCGGGGTTATAAGTTTTGCTATACGGGTTGTTGACCCTAGCATTTGCCTCGAAGTTGACATGCTCCTCCGGAGTGGTTGCCTCCTTCATTGCTTGACACTCCGCCATCTCAAGACTGGTGCTCGAGCACCAGTCACACGACATCACATGCCTTTTTCCTTGCCTCTTATCTTCAAGCATAACCTCAAGTAACTTATCCAACTTCGCCTCAAGCGGAGCACTCGCTCCCATGCTTCTCACTCCCCTATCATTGCTTCTTCTTCCATTTCTAGTCAACCCCCAGTTGTATCCCCTAAGGGCCATGTCTTCAAGTATCTCGGTTATTTGGGGTGGAGCCATATTCATCAATTTCCCTTGACACAAGGAGTCAATGAGAATTTTATCTTCTTGCATTAGGCCTCTGTAGAAGGTTTTGATCCGAAACTGTTCTTCAAACTCGTGGTGAGGGCACTGAAGAAAGTAGTCGGAGTACCTCTCCCAAGCATCCCTCAAGGTCTCATCTTCTTCTTGCTCGAAATGGGTAATCTTATTTCTCCACTCCGCCGTCTTCGAAGGTGGGTAATAACGAGCCATAAACTTGTTAAGGAGGTCGTCCCATGAGGTGATTGACCAAGGTGGGCGGTTGTTTAGCCACCTAAGTGCTTTCCCCGTTAGTGAGAACGGGAAAAGCCTTAGTTGCAAGAATCTCTGCACGTGCTCTATTGGTGATCGCTCTCAAGGTCGTGGAATAGAACATTACTTTGTATCATAGTCACTAAAGCCGGCTTGATCTCAAAATTGTTTGCCGCCACTGGAGGATGTAGCATTGGCGATTGAATGTCCGCCGGACTTGGGGCTATGTAGTACCCCATCTTCCTCGGGACATCCTCATCCTCCGCCGCATCGTTCAACTAGCGAGCTTGAGTTCCATCTTGCCATTTGTTCCCCGCCATTACTACTACCTCAACGGGTTCAACTTCCAATTCTTCAACTTCTTCTCCACTAACACCGGAACCCAAACGTTGTCCCTCTCTTTCACTTCTTCTCCTTGCCTCCGCTAGCTCTCTCTCCCATTCTAGGATCCGGAGAGTTCGGTTTATGTCCTCGTCAAGTGGTAGCAAAGGTGTTGGGTTACTCCGGGTCATGCACCACCTACACAGAATCGGAAAACACACCAAGTCTAGCACAAGCAAAGCACACACTTGCAAAACTGGAAATTAAAAGCTAGATTAACAACCAACAAATTTTTCAAGATAACAGACTGTTATCCCCGGCAACGGCGCCAAAAACTTGGCTCGCACGAAACTACACCACAAATCCCGACTAGAGTCCAAGTTTTTAAACTCTAGCTGGGTGCAGTATAGAGCAAGTATTTAGATATCAACCCAGGTCGGTCCGTCTACCCCTACTTCAGTTGTTTTAGTCATTATCTAGCAACAAAGTTTTGGTGAAAAGTTTGCTAATTATAACAAAATAAGTTAAAGGTAAATAGTTTTGAAAACTCTTTTGTGGAAGGATCACTCAGGTGTTGCTTCCCCCTAACTACTACCATGATATGTGAATTGGAATGATTGATTGGGAAAGGTAACCACGAACCGCAGAGAGATGCATATATGGTCGGAGACCACAATCTCAATTGCTAAACCGAGGTAAACATTAAAGGTCGTGTCACACCCTCTCGGTTTAGGCAATCGATAGTTGACTTACTCCCTTACTCAACTCAAAGGTTGGACGGCTTAACCGCGATTAACTGATTTGCTTAATTCAACACTGAGGGTTGCCCTAAATTAACCTAGTTAGGTGGTTTAAAAGCTGAAGGAAAACCAACTCGATTGAGTCTCCCTTGGAAGGGGGATTTTCCTTGTATAAGCTAGGTTAAGGTGGCTAATTAGATTTGCTAGCACCAACATGCACAAACCTAAGGGTGCTAAGCATAATTATGCACAATCCTTAGGTTGCTAAGCACCAAAATGCACAAACCTAAGGATGTTGAGCACAAAACATGCACAACCCTTAGGTTGCTAAGCACAAGCATGCACAATCAAAATGAATAATACGTCAATCATTGAATTAAACAATACCCAATGACAATCATTCAATTCACATACAGGAAACTACATGGTAGAGTTAGGGTTTCACAACACCCAAGTGAAAGGAGATCTACTCCATGCTAGAAATGGGAAAAATACAAAGAGAAGGAGAGGAAACCATCTTGGTGGATGCTTCCAATCTTCTTGGCCCTTGTATTGAACTTTACTTGGAGGAAATCTTCCCAAAATCCACCTTGAAGCAAAACCCTATCCTTCTTCTTCCTTGGTTCGTGTTTCTCTCTCTAGAAATATGAAGAAGTCTTTTCACACAAAATGGGTTCTCCCTCTCTCCTCCTTTCAGCGCATCTTTAAACTAGAGACGAGCTGAGTTCACGGCCGTGAACCACGAAACGCGTCCGTGAACTGAAGGCGTGCTCCAAAACACACCGTTTCGATCACTCATGTTCACGGTCAACAGCCTCCGTTCACGGTCTTAGTGACCGTGAACTCACCTTGCGTCAGTAACCTCTGTTTTGGCTCTAGACGCCTCGTGATTCACGGTCAAGGGCCCTTCTTCACGGGCGTGCGAGACCGTGAACTTCCTGGGATAGCCGCGAATTGGACCTTTTCACGTCTTCTCCCAGCTTTCGATCCTTTTCGTCCAACTTTTGGCTCCGAGGATGGTTTCACCTGTTAAACCCCGAAACACACTAAAACACGAGGAACCTAGCGTAAAACAAACCTTTTAGGAGTGAATTTTCCACAAACACCTAAGTAAAACGGGGGCAAAACATGTACAATTAGGTCCGAATAAGAAATCATCCAAGACAAACCATTCTAGCAATCCAAACATGCAAAATAACATCCATTGTAGTCTTAATTCTTAAACTAAATATAAAACAACAAACTCCAATACTCCATCTCCATGTGCAGCAACAACAAGTTAGCAACTTTGATAGGCCTCCAGACTCCAACATCAACTCATCCAGCAGCAGAACTACCATTCCATCACAACATGCAACATTCAACAAACTCAAAAGTTAGAACATCAGACATTCAACAGTTCAACTAACTCGGAATAAGAATATTAGACATTTAGACTTGTATGTTGAGACTTACAACTTACTAGTAAGGATATCAGTAAGAAGGTTGGTTAATCTTTAAGAAGTTTGATACCAGGAACTTGATCTACTCATTTAAATGCTAAAGATCATTAACATATTCAGATGCAAAACCATTTTTAGCTTGTTACCTTCGACTTCAACATTAGGTTGACCGAAATTGGCTTCCTTTGGGGTGGAGAAACATCCTTCCAGCACTGCTGCTACAGTAATAGATTCTGCAAGTGTAAAAAAATGAAATATACTTATCCAACTTTACATTACTGATTACCTTCACTAAGTTTATTCTGCAACCATCTTCTTGTGCACATAAGTCTCTCTATAATTGCATAATCTAGTATGCTCCTATGAGGATCCAACAAACGACCTCTAGAACTCAATGCACATTCAGATGTCATAGAGGTAACTGGAATGGCAAAATCAGGTCGGTCAGGTGACACCCTATGACACAACACGAAACAATGGCCAACAGTAACCAATGAATGAAAATGAAGAATAGTGGCAAGCTTTATATATCAACCCGGAGTCTAGATCTACTGCCTACTCTGTGAAATTCTATTATCTAGTAGCAAGAGTTGAGTGATTGTGATTCTAATCGAAAGCAGTAAATTGTTCGATGTACTTAGCAGAATAAGAGTCACTCGGGAATGAGTCCCTCTAGCTCCTCAGTTAGGTTCAAGTTGTAATTCCCTTTGGTTGATTACTATTGATTAGACTGCGGAAGATCAAAAAATAGGATGGAATCTCTTAAACTAACCAAGCCCTCTTAGACATAATATCTAGCAGACGACTAGCATTCACCGGAATAGACTGCTAAGACGATTCACACACAACTCTTCTATTGGGATTGATTTCCAGTACAAAGCAGTGAATTGACTGACTCTCGTACAATCAATTCACTCCTATCGACTGAAGAAGCTCTAGCAACCTAATCAGATTCTATCTATCATAGGTTGAAGCAAAAATCAAAAGAAGTTGATCAAGATTCAATGGACTCAATAAACACACTTCAATCGATTAAAACCAATCAATACATCATCCCAAAAGTCATTACAATCAAGATCCCTAACATATGGAACTAGGGTTCTTCATACCCAAGTGAGAGAAATGTTTAATCCATAGAGAGAGAGAGAGAGAGAGAGAGAGGGAAATAGAAATCAGAGAAATCATACTCATAATGATGTATATGATAAGATCTGGGATGTAAATCTTCACTCCAAGGTCGAAATCCAAGCTTGAATGGTGAAACCCAACTCCAAAATCGATCCTAGGGCTTGTTACTTCATCCTTTCTCTCTCTAAAACTCTGTTTTTCCTCTTGTCTCGACACCACTCTCGCACTAAAAAGCACTAGCGTGCCCCAGCTTGAAACACGGTCGTGTTCCTAAGGGAAGCTGCTTGTGTTCCTCTCTAGCTTCTCCGAATGACCTCCAAATGACCCAAAACTCGCGCCTATGCCTACCTTTAACGACCAGGACCAAAAATGTGACAAAAGAGCACAACCCAGCGTAAAATATGCCAAGGAAACACAAATTCGAACCAAAACTGTTAAGAAACAACGGTGCAAACATGTGCAAATAAGACGTTATCATCAGGTCAGGCTTTTCCCATGAACCGGGTCATGTTCACTTCCCCCAACCCTACATCATGAACAACATAACCCTAATAACGTGATAGGTGACCCTCAATTTATGCTTGTTCTCTTCCTCATCTCTTCCTCTTCCACATTGCCGACACCAAACTCCTATCAAGCTTTCGTTCATCTCTAAAACCTTCAGCACCACCATCCCCGATCTTTTATTGATCAAGAAGGGAATGTATCAATCAATGTGTTACCTTTTCTAGATGAAAGTTATCAAGAAAATATATTCAATGGTGAACTTACTTCAAGCGATCCTGAGAATAATGATATTATTGCTCAAACAAATAGTTAACGATTCTATAAGGATGTGAATGAGGGTGAGGGTGGGGGTGAGGGTGAGGATGATATGTAAGGGATGTTAATTTTGATCGTAATGATCTTAAGTGATTTTCCACTCTTAATGAGCTATTAACTAGATTAAGTAATTCTTATGAGGTTTCAGATTGCATATTTGTGTGTTTATATTACGTACAATAATAAATAATGGACTTATTTGTATTTATTTAAAAAAAATTATCTTGGGTAATAATTAAGTTGTATTTGGTTGAATGTTATACATAATTTGCATTGTTATTAACCTACGGAGTTTTGAGTGTTGATTTTTATATGAACCTTAAAATCTTACGATTTTAATCTATGATTCCGATTTTGCCTCAGTTTTTTATTTTACGTAAAATCTCGATTTTGACTACATAGCAAATAAAAACATTGAAGCTCTTCTTCTCATTCAATTTACTTTGGTACTCTAAAACAATATCAAACAAGACACCCTTAACAGATGCCTAACAAGAATTATCATCCCCAAACTTTTCATCATAATAGTCCACAATATCCAGCTTATATCATGGATCTAACACCACAGTAGTATCAAGGAATTTGTGAATCTCATCTCAATACTTGATGAACTTTTCCAACATCGAACCAGCCATCTCCCTTATCACTTCATTAGCATCAACACACCACTCATAAATTTTGAGTCTCAAATCACAAATGCGAGGGAATAACATATTTTTAGCTGGATACTTTGAACCAGAGAACATATCAGACACCAAGCAAAACAATTCTAGTTTCTCACAAACAATTGCAGCAAATTGCTTTGCTCATTTGATGGAAAACACTTGTATTGAGAATCACATTATTTCAATCAAGTGAAAATTTCCTTATAAGGCATAGCACCAGATAGAATCTTAAAGGTGGAGTTTCGCCTTGTAGGGTAATCCATAACTAACCCCTTATCAGTATTCACCTTCAATTGTTTTGCACTTTTTTGAAAAATTTCACCGTTTTAGGGGTAGCAGACCAGTACAAAACAGTGTCTCTCATGTTTTCTATTCCCTCTTTCACAACATTCAATCCCTCCTTCACAATCAAATTTAAGATATGTGATGAACACCTCATTTGCATCAAGTACCCTTCACTAATCAGATATGAATCCACTAATTTTAACTGTATGACTCGAATCATAGAGTCATTAGTGCTACAGTTGTCCAAGGTTATAATGGATACCTTACTGTCGACATACCAATCGAGCAATGGGATGATGGAACATACATAAACCTGCACAAGAAACACAAACATAAACAGTTAGGAATGATTCTAACACAAACAATCTATAATGTTTGAAACAGAATCAAGAAAGTTATCAAAATCTTACCTAAGCATGTGGCTCCTAAGCACCCAAGAGTTGTCGATATAGTGAGAAGTAATAGCCATGTATCCCTTATTTTGATTTGTGGCAATCCACATATCAGTAGTTATTGCTATTCTACATTTATTGTTATCAAACACACTTTGAATCTTACCCCTTTCAGTATAAAAAAAACACCTCTGTTTTTATAGTGTTCCTACATGGTATAGTGAACAATGACTGTAGAGAGCAAATGAATCTCTTGAAATACAGATGCTCAGCAATAGATAAAGGATATTAATTGCAAGCTCCCTTTTCGAAAATTATGAGTTGAAAGGAGTAGCAACCATGTCTTGTTTTCCTTGAGCCAAATAGTGACGGCCAAGGATCTTTTGACTATCATCTTTAATTTTCTTTTGAACACAGATCTTTGTGTGATTCTTTAAATGAGTAGTACCATTGTTAGATTCTCCAACTAACAACTTCTTACATATTGCACTTAGTCTTAATAACACCATTAACAACATTGGTATTTTAAGCCTACCAAGATCGATTACCTCCTCAACATTACCATTATAAGCATTGGTATTTTGCTAGCTTGAAGGTGCTGCATGTGTAGCCTCCCCATTGTTATTGTTGCCATTGATCGCAGGTGCAAGAATAGGTCCACTCGCACCAATTTCATTCTGTTGAGCAACAACAGCCCCTTGCACTTCTTCAGTTAACATGATTGCTGCCAAAAATTAAATTAGGAAGATAAGTTTTAATCAATAATCAATTGACCATGAACCTCAACAAACACAGAATGAAAATAAATTTACCTTGAATAGACATATAGAGCAACGACGATAATCAAGTTCACGTAGGTCTGTCGTTGAACCCAACAACAATATCTTGAATGCACATATCAAAGCCAAAGATCAAACCAGTAAGAAGACGAGAAACATATATACTGAATTATGATTCTGGATTTTGTAAGAAGAGATGTGTGAACAAAAAGACTCACGTTCTATTTATATGCAACTCCAGCATCCAGTTGAATCGACTCTTCTCGGCAGAAGAAAAGTAATTATCGTCACCATGGGGAAGGAAAGAAGATAATCAAGGGAAGGAATGAGGGATCGTTGTGGGGATGTTGGATAAGGCAGCAGGCGCGATAAATTGGGCATTCGAAGCAATCTGATAGCCATTTCTTTTGATTTTTGAGAAGGGAAATCGTATAGTCAAGGGAGAGAGGCAGAGACTGCTTGTAGGCTAGGGTTTCTGCTAGGGAATTCTGGAAGAAAGGGGCAATATATATGTTCGGGGCGGAGTCGGGGCATATATTAGTAAATCCGATCCCCGTCCATCACCGGTAACACAACAATTTGGATTAATTTGAGCCCGACCCGTCACCCGTCAAAAGTGGATTTTGCCCGCGGTGACGGGGGCGGATTCGGGCGGATTCTCGGGTTACCGGGTGCGATTGCCAAGCCTATTAGAAGACAATAATGAAGACACAAAAAACAAAAAAAGCAAGCACACATAAACCACCCTTCGCAAAGAAGAGTGGGGAAAAAAACACAAATGAAACACAAAACAAAGAGTGCAAAAACAAAAGTAAAACAACAGAAAAACGGCTAAAGTAAAATGAATGAAAGATACTAAAGTATCATACTACTATGAACTACTACTATTGCTGCTGCTACTACTACTACTATAAACTAATAAGTAAGACTAAACTAACATTCTAACTTTTTCAACTAGTTACCTTAACTCCCCGGCAACGGCGCAAAAAACTTGATGTGATCGCGCATTGAGCTTTACATTTATAATCTCGATCGTCAACAATATTAGCTACCCATATCTAGGACAAATGCACCCTAGCTAGATCAGGGGAATAGTATAGTGGTGATCGATCTCGTATTCCAAGAGTTACAGTATCTTAGACTACTTTGGCTCGGTTGTTATCTATTTGAAATGTTACTTTGTAGGTTGGTAGTTGGCGATTACTAAGCTAAAGGTCGATGGAAGAGAAGAGGTACTCAGGATGCCTCCCTCATGACATGCAAGAGGATAAACGGAGGACTTATTGTGATCGAGATAGATCGCAAATCTAGGAATCGAATCAATGGTCATGCAACCGTTCCCACTCCTACATCAATCCACTAGTGCAATGTCACCTCAGCTAGCTTCACATTGCGGGGATAAAACTTATATGCTCTAAATGGTTTCTATCCATCCGCGCACTAGACCGTCAAGTCGATGGTCTCACTGTCGACGTTCTAGCATTACCTGGGTGGGCATCTAATGGTGAGAGGTACGGTCGCCTCGTCCACCATACTAAAATTTTAACTAATCCTAACTAGCTAAGGCGCTCAAATCCCGTCTAGATCATGCACTCCTAAATGGTAGGTTACTATGAAAAGAGTTGGGAAGAAGAGCCCATGCATAATTAGTCATATATGAAACATCAAATGCTAGGCAAGCTCAATTCATTCATAAACCACAAGAAAGAAGATGATAATTCCCATGAATACCTAAGTTGTAACTAGGGCAAATGGGATATAGACAACCCCACACTAATTGATGCAATAATGAACAAACACCAAATAGACATAGATAGATATATAGGTTCAAAATCATTCACAATTCAAGACTAAAACATCCTATTACATATCAAACTAAGTTAGCGTTTGAGGTACAAAGCCCCAAAATACATTGAGGGACTACATCATGAAGGGGGGAAGAAAAGACATGCAAATTAAGAGGGGAAGAAATCATGAAGAAAGGGTCTTCAAGTGCTGGAAATCCTCCTCCAAAGCTCTTCTTCTCTTCTTCTCCAACTTTCTACTTTTCTCTCTAACCACACTCTAGTGCAAGAAATCTTCCAAAAGCCATCTACTTTTTTGGAGGAGTCCACAATTTATAGAGTTCTGACGACACGGGCAAGTTCGTGGTCACAAGGCAGAAGATCGCGGCTGTGATCTTTGGTAAGAAGTCGCAATCTTGAGACAACACTGTTCTGGGTGCGGGATTTCGTGGCTGAATTTAGCGTTCATGATCCTGAAGTCGCGACGATGATATTTTCTCATAGTCTGGGAAGTAAAGACCCGTAGTCAACTGTCGAGAGTTTCTGTCTCCCTTTGAAGCCAATTTTGTGAGTTTGCGGTTGCATCCCCAAAAGATCGCGGGCGTGAACATTGGCTTGAGGACGCGATCTTACCTCTAGACTTTGCGGTCTCCATAATCCCGGCTGTGATCTTTGCTTCTTCAGATGCGAACTCTATTTTGGCCACTTTTTCCACACTTGTGACCCCATTTTCTCCGAGGAACGAACTAGAGGTAAATTCGATGACATTTCAACCAATGAGACCAGGATATGACTTCAAATAAACCTAAATATGAGAGCTAAATAACACCATTTTGGGTGTTATCACTACAACAGTCATCAACAAGCTCAAGGGGCCTGTGACTAAACAGTTTGAAGTTCTGGGAGAAGATTACTCCAAACTCCCCTCTTCATATAAGCCTTATACTTCTTTTGTGTCGCTTACACAAAAGGGAAAAAGACTGATATGGGAGAGGTAAGATATGTAATCAGGAATTTTGACATGGAACAACAAAGCTTCAAAGCCTGTGACAAGAATAAAGTTGTACAGAAGATAGTAAATAGTAGGGTAATGTCTATTTTTTATCCAAACCTTTTTGAGATTCTTTTATATTATCCAAAATTATTAAAATGCTATTAATTAGTCAAATCCTTCGTAATACATCAAAATATTAGTCATTTTTACATTATTATGAATAATTTTGTAACTCTTTTCATAGTTAAAATACTAAAATTTTGGAATGTTGACCTTCAGTTTCTGATCATCGTCCTATTCTTAAAAATTCAGACAATTCTATGAAGTCACTCTGTAAACCTTTTAAGTTCTTTAAAATTTGGATTTCTTATCCAATTTTCAAGGACGTGGTTAAAGAAGCTTGATATGCTAAGGTTACTGCTCTAGTGCGGTTTTGTAAGAAGTTCAAAATTTTGTAAAAATTGTTAAGAGGATTGAATCGTAAAGTTTTCTCTAATTTTAGCGAAAGGGTGAAGTTAAAGGAAGTTGAGTTAGTTCATGTGCAGGCTAGTGCTTTGCAATCCCCTTATGAATTGACATTTGATAAGGAAAGGAAACTCTCCACTAAATTGGCAAAACTAAAAGCTGCTAGAATCTTTCTTAAAGCAGAAATCTACGGGTTGTTTGCTTCAAGGATTGAAAATTAAGGTTTTGATAAAATTTCGATTTGAAAAATCATGGATATACGAGGGTTTTGTAAACATTATGGACTTTAAAACTACCATGGTTTGTTTCATAGATTTCATGGTGGATTGTGTTAATTCGATGTGTACATATGAAGTGAAATTGACCTAATTGCTCTCATTGGTATGAGAAGAGAAAGGAAATAGAAGGGTAGGTTGGTCTCAAATTATAGACTTCAAGTCCTTGAGCAATTCTCACCTAAATGGGTGGTATTTTCAAGTTCGTGCGCCCCATGAATTTGGAACCTCAAAGTGCATGGACCGCGCAGATTTGTTGCCCCTAAATACACGAAGTAAACAATGAAATTTGGATAAAATCCGTGATGGACCAAATCCATCACTAAATCCATCAAGTAAACAACCCTAGAGAAATATGGTTTAAGGAGGGGGATTCCAATACCTATTATTTCCATAAATCTGTCAAAATTTGTCAACAAGAAAATACTATCATATCTTTGTTTGATGAGCATGATGCTAGGGTCACTGATACGGAAGAAATGAGTGCAATTGCTAATTACTTCCAACCAAAATTATTAGGAAAGTATGATCCCTTAATGCACTATGAATTTGTGAACTTTTATAAAGGTCTTCTTAAAAAGAAGTTGAATCCTGCTTAAGTGTCAGATTTATGTAAACCAGTTACTAGTGAAGAAGTTAGAAAAATAATGTTTGGATTCAAGGG